TTAATATAGTGGACAGTTTTGGTTTTGCGAAATCATAGTGTGTAACATTCGTATTGAACCCCCCTACCCCTAGAAATTTTCTTTGTCTAGTTTTCCTTAATTGGCGTTATTTCTTTTCTTTTCTAATAATAAAAGTTGTAGTAATTGACTTTTTTTTCCTTCCAGTGATAATAATAATAGTGCCATGAATTATTATTTGGGAGAGCGTATTAAATTGATGATAACAAATATAAATTTATAATTGATTATGTGGATGAATTGGCTATTACTATTACTAATAAATTAGTTTTATTAGAGAATAATTTCCTTTAGTAATTTATAAAGAAATGTTTTATTTGCCGAAACCAATTTATTAACTTATGTATTTCTAAGTTAATTTATTAAACTTCTTACAAAGTTATTTGCAAGTATGTCAAATTCAATTATGAATGCTTTTATCACAGTTTTGTGTTTTCCGCACTATTTTGTGCTTTAAACACACTTGTGTGTTATTGGTGTAATCACGTTATTGTGTTTAAGCACAATAATTCCCTACTAAATAATTACGATGTTATATGAGTTGTATGAAATAAATAAATTAGAATGGGCCAATGAATCAACGATAGTAATAATAATTTTTTTTTCTACTAGTAACAAATAGTTATTGTTCATCTAACAATAAAAATTTTTAACATCAAGATTGACGGTTAACTAATTAAATTAGCTGGTTAACGGTGCCAACTTCTATTCCAGACTTTATTTCATCAAAATTTAATTAAAAACAAAAGTTGCATTGTAAATTTTCTTTTTATAATTCATGTTTATGTGTGTAAATTTTAGTTGATAAATCATTATCTGTGTTAGAGAGATCGAATACGTTAATTCAGGTGGTTCAAGGGACTAAAATTTAGAGGAATGAATTATTTTTAAATTGCCGTAAAATCCAAAGGGTATTTGCTGATTTGAACAGGACTTTAGTTATTCGGTAAATATTTGAATGTCACGCCGTTAGAATTAATTCAAACTCGTGGATATGTATGTTAATTTGCTTCGGCATAATTAAACTGAGTTTATACACAAATTCAAATAAATATTTTTAATATCCGCACGAAACGCGCTTCAAACATGCTTTCTTAAAGATTACGTCATAAATAGTTTCAGTATTACATATTAGCTGAATATGTTTGAAACGTAAATTTACGGTCAAATAAAAGAATAAATAAATAAATTTATTTTATCGTGCAAAATGATAAAAGCAATATGATTGTTAGTTAAACCCGTTTGAGTAAATAACATGCTTAAGAATATTTATTAACTATCTTTCGATTGCTCAATATAAAACTGGATTGAACCGAACTGACAAACAGCAATTAACGTCCTACTCGTGAACCATCTACAACTTATGAATTACCAAAAACGCATAAACGGTTTCTTTAAAGATTTTGAGGAAAAGGCTGGGTTAGTTATCATTATTCTTATATATACTGTTAATGTAGTTTAGAAAATAACTAGGCAAAACAATTCCAGAAATCCAACAAGATCAAGCCTTTTTTTATGATCAATCTTCTTTATTCCATAGATGTAGTTTAAAGACTAGACATCATACAACTGGCGAAGGTGATCTGAAGAAAAGAAATTTTCGAAAATCAGTGTTTCTTCTTTACATTTTACTCCGAGAGAAGTTGTCCACATAGTTGGGAATGAATCATATATTATCGTCCAAATTTTGATAAATAATATTTTGAGTCAAAGAGCTTCTTTCTTCTAATAAAAATATCTGACATCATATTATAAGTACAACGAAGATTGCAATGAGGATAGATAATAAGTCTAATGAAAAAAGATAACTTTATCCATCAAGAACACCTAGATCAATGAACTACCAAGAAATAAATATAAAGCTTATAATGATCAGCTGTAATCACCCTGCTATTTATTGAACGATTAAAACAGGCAAGAGAATGAGAAATGTTCATTATAGAGCTGTTACAATTACACAATAATAATGATGATGATAGCATTGTTTAACACTTCACACCACTGAAATTGTTCGAATTTGTGGTCTGTAACCTGTGGCCATAGTCTCAAGAAAGGGCGATTTACTTGATAAATTAATAACTTTACACCTGCTTTAGGTAAATAAAGCTTATGTTAAATCAGTTTAGAACTAATTTTTTTGGGAAATATAAATTTATTTTTTATTACAATCAATTTAATCAATTTGTAAGCATCAATAACCTTTTAAACCCCCCCAAAAAATTGCTATATATTGTTTTCTATTTTACAACTTTTTTATTAAAGAAGGTTCATGTCTTCTTAAACTTTCTGCATTTTTCTGATGGATGTTTGAACGAATGTTTTCTAAAGATTTTCTATCACTAGAACACATTGAACCTGATTGTTCAAGTGCAAATATAATATGAAATGCTGCTTCATTTTTATTTGGATTATCACAGCTGAACTGATGACCATCCAGTGAAATATAACCAACACCAGTTGATGTCCTAGATGATGTATTTAAAGGTTTATGGAAAATTTCCAATTCACAATAAGATTTTGTGGGAGTTGCACTATTAGAACTTTGTTGCTTATTGTGAGCTTCATCTGGACATTCATGATCACATTTTGCAAATTCTACTTGTTCTTGTGTTGAATATGGATCTTTAAAGCCAGTTCTTTCCCAAAATATTTTATGAGTTACATAATCTTTTTTATCATCAGGATTGGGTTTGATGGGTGCTGATTATTTTAAATAAATAATATTAGATTTTATAAAAATTTTCAACAAATAAAATAAAAATATTAAATACCATCTATATGCATTATTTCTTGCCCTTGGTGTCCATTTTTGCATGCCTCCACATTTTGACAATAATCAATATGTCTATGGCGACCTAATTCTTTACAATAAAAATTACAAAGAACAAAAGAACCTTGATCTCCAATTTGTAATTTATGTCCCTTATACTCAAATACATTATCATCATCTGCAGTAAATTCTGTTAGTACCATATTTCCATGGGTAGTCTCATGTAAAGTTTGTGTATGTCCATGAGGCAAGTTGCAATAATATTCACAGAATGGACATTTTTTATCACAAAAGTGAGATCCATTATGTGAATGTGGTCCATCATGCTTGAAGGAGTTTGGTGGTATTCTTTTATTACATCTCATCCTTTCACTTTGTTGAATATATTTAAAAAAGCTAATTGAACTTTCTTTAATCAACACTTTATATGTTGCTTCTTCTTTTTTTGGTTCAGTTGAAATTTTACAAATACCTGGTTCTTCACAATCCTCATGGCATTGGTGATCATTACCACAAAAATGATTAACTAAAGGTTCATTTGCATGAAAATGATTATTACTCTGGCATCTATTTTGACAATCTGAAATTGGGCATTCAATTGGACATGTCTCATTTTCACAACAATGTTGATCATGCTTAAGCCCATGTGGTATAATGCATTTGTTTGGACATTTATAATCACCTTTGTTAGTTGATGTAAAGAGTGAACATGACTCTCCACAATAATAATGCTCTGATTGACACATGTGTACATCATCTTCATGTCCAATAACTTTTGAACATACTTTTTGACAATTATGTTTACCACTAAGATTACAAGGTTTTCTACATAAATGGCTGGCTTTATTACATGCATGTTTCCCATCATGTCCTGCTTTATGACTACATGTTGGAATAAAAGAACCATGTGCTTCTGTAAACTGACAAGAAAAATGGCATTTATGATTAGTCTTGCAGTCATGTTTGTCAGAATGACCAAGATTTTTAAGGCAATGTAATCCACAATCCTGACATGAAAGTCCACATAATGTCCAAAAAAGCTTAAGCTTGTTTATTACTTTTTCAAGAGCATATTTTCCAATAACAACTTCATTATTGTCTTGTGGAAATTTGGTGATGTTTTGTGAAAACCATTGCTCAACACGATATATTCTTCGTTCAATAATAAAATTGAAAAACATTTCTAATTTATTAAACCATTCTGAATCATTTGGAGATTCTTTTCGTTGTTGAATATTTTCTTCAAATTGATTTCTTAGATCATATGAAAAATCAACAAAATCAGCATTTTCTTCAAAGAGTAAAACATCTGAATCTGGAAATAGTTCATTTTGTGTATTGAAGGTTTCTGCAAATTTAGATAAATGAGATTGATCATCTATTTTCTCTTCTGTATCATAAATTATTAAAGGCTTAATTTCTTGTTCATTTTGCTCTAAGCCATAAGATATAGCTACTGGAAGTATTCGCTTTAAAGTTGATAAATGTATTTGAACAAGGTTTTCATCCAAGGGTCCCCAATCACAAATTTTTAATTTGGCCATAATGACTTTAATGTTTTGTAAAAAAATTTGTCCATTTTCATACTTTGCTTTCTGAATATCCAACTTTTTTTTGACAGTTTTCAAAGTTTTAAACCAAGCAGGATTATTAAATAATGGCCATGGTAAAATAGTTAATCCACTTTTATACATTCTGGTAATAAAATTATCTTCTGCTTGTTTTTTAACCAAGTCTTCAAACTTGAGATGAAACTCATCAGCAATTCCTTTTTGATCACTTTCATGAACATCTTTAATTATAATACAAAGTTTTGCTTGAAAAATATTTGGGTCAGATTTAAAAAAAGTTGCACAATCTTGAAATCTTTGAAACATTTCTAACATGTCTCTACTAACAGCAAATTGGTTTTTAAAAAGTATCATGTTAGAAACCATTGTGTTAAACAAAGTTAAAAATAAGTCTTCTTGTGGTGTTCTTTCCAAAGACCTTAATCCTTCAAAATCAAGTGCAACATAAATAATTTCTTTTGTTATAACTAAAGACATCCATACTCCTTCAGTGCATCTCATTGCAGAACTATCAAATGTTGTTCCAACAAGGTGATTCAACATATATGATTTTCCACATGATTGTTCACCCATACTTGAAACAACTTTAACTTGTCGATTACCAAAATGCTTAAAAATACTTTCATACCACCCAAGAGAAATATTTTCTGCAATACCATCAAAATGACATCCATGTTCAACATCAAAATCTATCTCATAATCATTTGATGCTAAACCATCTCGAAGTGGTTGTAATTGATTATTTTTAGCAATTGCAATCTGAATTGGTATTAAACATGAAAGTTGAATTACAAAATCTCCTAACTGATATTTATTTGAATGTTTTGATA